TCTCTTATTTTGTTTTTACCCTTTTTTTTCTACTATGGACCTTTTTTGTGTCTGGAATAAAGATTGATTGATTGATTGAAATAAAGAAGTGGATGACTTTGAAATTAGGCACAAATGTGACATCCCAGCTTTCAGCAGAATGATAAAAAGTCACGATTACCATTAAAAATCACTGAGAACATTTGATCTTGCATCTGTACAGTCGTTTTAAAAACAACGGACTGTATTATAGTGTATTATAGTGTTAATTGCTAACAACAGAAAGACGCCACAGGCTTCTGTTTGCGGAGGAAATCAACTCAGAGCAGCTGTGTCATGACCAGAGCATGATTTGTGGACAGTGGGAGACTCATTAACACGAGGCGAGCTTTCTCTGCAGTTGACATCATCGTCCTTTCAAGCCTGTCGACCATGAACCGTTACCATCTGTCCAAAACACCAGCTCTTGGCTGAATTCGCCATGAATGCACCCACCGAGATGTCCGTGCAAGATAATGAAAACGAGGCGGCGAAAAGAGTAGGGGGGTAATGTAGGATGGGTGACACCTTCAGCATGATGACATCATCCTCAGGTATCAATAAAGTGGCGCAGCAGCTTTGTGTTCAGCCTCTCATCCAGCTGACTGCTACGCTGATCTCTCTTCTTGCGTTTCCCAGGCTGAAGTCTAGGGGCTCTGTTTCATGCGAGGCAGTGTCATGTATTCCCACCCCCACTGACTGTGTACGGACAACTGGGCTGTTTTTATTTGAAGCCTTGCAATGACTACAGCTCCTCTCAGCTTGACACAGATCAGCCTGGGCAGAGCTACAAAACGACGATCACAACAGCCAGTTTGAAAAAGATAAGTACACATAGATATTTGGAAACCCCCCCACCTCCAATGCTATAATTAGATTCAAGCACAGCTTTCCATCCAAAACAGCTGCATTCCTACAGCCRCCATGAAACCATCTGATTCTGCTTATTTCTGGAACAAATGTGTCCCTACAGTGCCGAGCTTTATCTTTAAATAAATACATGAACGTCACAGGTTATGACACATAATGACACAGATACAAAAATCGAACCTTTTATCCAAGAAGGGAATGACAATGTTTACATGATGACTCAAAAAAATAGGGAAATGTTTATGTTTTACATAGCTACACGAGATGTTAAAGTGCAGTAAATGGGTGAAACTCCTAAAAAAAAGCAATATAAGATTAAAATAATGACCCCCCTCCACTAGCCAAGCTGGAAAACAAAGATAACCGAAAACCTGCTGAGCAAAATCTACGCTGATACAATAATCTCATTTTCACCGCAATTTTTTTTGCGCAACATCCTCTGAACCGCAAAAAAAAAAAGATACTCAGCTACTTCATAATCCTCCCTGAGAGCTCCATTTAGACGCTGCAGCCGGATAATTCAATACAAAAAACATTGGACCTCTGTAATATCATCGCAGATCGTAAAAAGAAAAAAAAAGTTGATGAATGTATGAATAAATGCTGCTAACTACCGGATGATGTAATGGCTTCTTTATCCAGTGCGAAATTCACATCTTTTGTTAGCACAATTATGGCGTACCTGACACGACAATGTTTTGGGGGTAATATGTGTGAAAATAGCACAATGTGTCATGTTTGTGTGACGGTTTTATGCCAGGACTCAACACATCAGCGCAGTCTACTGCTGTTATTGTGCAAAATGGACCCCTTCTTTCTACCTACTGCCGAGCTCGCAGGCTAACTTACTACCCCATCCCCCATGTTTGTGTCTGTCAAGCGCTAATAGCGCCGAGACTACCTGCAAAAAAAAATCGCACTTTCGTACGACATAATGATGATATAAATGTCAGTTGATATTTTGAAAGCCAGTGTTAAAGACTCTTGGAAGTTTCCCCTCGACTGACATATTCCATAAAACTTACTTCAGCCCCAATCCGTGGAGATGTTGCCCTATTAATCGTATGACATCTTCCTCCGCTTGCGATAGTCGTTTCTTCTTCTTCAGCGAGCCGACCTCCGATGTCGAAGTCCCCGAACAGGGCCCGACTGAAGAGCCGTTGCTGGTACCGACACCGTTACTGTTGTCTGTGTTGGACAGAAGCCCATTGGAATGGGCTCCTCCACCGCTACCACCAACCGAAGAAGACTCCCCGTTTTGTGCGCTGTTTAGGCAGGGAAGCTCCGCGGATTCTTGTCCCTGTCCTGCCCCGTTCGACTGCATACTGCTGCTAAGGTTGTTAACGACACTTCGGTTGAAGTGGATGGCCGAGGTGGTTTGAGAGTGTGTAGCAAGTCCCAAGACAACACYAGAGAGGCCTGTTCCAACTGCTGAAGCCCCGGGCTCTCCTGCTCCCTCCGCCGCCGAGGCTCGGTGCTTCTTCCGCGGGGGCGGCGACGCTCCGCCGGTGTCCGAGTCGGAGGAGGAGGAAGCGGAGGCCAGAGTTTCCTCACCGAGAGCGGCCGTGGTTAGAAGCCGACGGAGCTCCGGGTGGGAAATGAAGGTTACGCTTCCAGACTTCAAGGCCTCGTTGTCGGGCTGGGAGCGTACTGTCAGTTAGTCCGTTTTTGTTGATGTTTCTCCCCAAACAGCTGCAACTCTAATGGAGTCCCGACGCCCTGACGTAACCGGACATTCCTACACTTGCAGGCTTCCGGGTAGAATTAGAATAATAACTTTACGACCACATAACTCCTAACGTTATATTTCAAACTAATATAATATAATATAATATAATATAATAT